ACAAAGTCTTAAGTTTTAATTTTTTTCTATAGGAAGTTCATACTTATTGTCATTTGTTAGCGTGACAATGTTTCATTTCTAAATAGCATGTAATCTTTCTAAATTGCTTCTCCATTTATTGTTGTAACCTATATACACAAATATTCCGGGCGTTTTTTTTAAGAAGAGGTTATGGTGCATACGATTTGCAAGCATGCACCTTTACATTTTTGATAAGTTAACCTTGTCTTGACATTAAATGAATGGAATTTTGATTGTAGGATCAATGTTACTGATCTAAAGGAGCCGATGACATTGAATATGCTTTAGCAATTTCAAGATTGTATATCAAATCGGAAAGTTTATGTCCAAAATCTTAGTTTTATGTAATAAACATGCGTTTTCACACAAGAAACTTAATATTATGTAGAATACAGAGTACACGTTTTACGTCTTATAGCTTTGTAGCTTAGTAGGTTATGACAAAATGAACTGTACTATCTCGAAGTTCAAGTTTACATCCAAAATCAGAGAGAAAAAGAACTCACAGAAGACAGAACACCAATCTTGAGCAAAGCTTGAATGAAACTTCAAAGAAAGAACTATAAATTGAAAGTAACGGTCAAAGTTTAAATGTTGTATCATGAAATATAGAAAAGATTTTTGTCCATTTATTATTATTTAGGTTGCAATTTCTTTGAAACCCCTTATCATCTGCAAATGATATGCCTACCATACACCAATGATACATTGCTAAATATACTAAAAGTGCACAGTGACCAGTATTGTTTATGTTCCATTTCATCAACGAACGAGAACCATACTGTATATTGATACAAGATTGATGAAGTGGATGCTAAAAATTGAAAGATATGTAACCTTTAATTCATTTAGCCCGTAATCATTTTCTTTAATGCAAGCAATTAGTGTAAGAAACACATTTTTCTACAGTTTTCCGTCGTTATCAGCATATTTTGAAGTAAATCATGTTGTAACCGTATCAATAATATTTTGTAGTTATTTCAAAGGATGGTTAGCAAATTGTTAGAGCCTCGTTAAATAAGGTTCCAAATAGAAGAATAATTAGATAGCGGTGAAACAAGCTCATTTTTCCTCTTAGGTGTAAACTACTGCAAATTAGAATTAATGAATACTTAGGCGCACGCGACTGGACAGAATGAAGGAAGGATATAGAAAAGGCAAGACAGGTTAAAAAAATAATATCCAAGTCAGTCTTCAATAAGCACGTTTATGATATTTAGGATTAAAGATAAAACATATGGTTAAATGAAAATAAAAACTTCTAATCTATTTTACTTTTCTATATATTATCAAAAGATTTTTCTAATTATCTGAACTTTCATTTTATCTTTTTTCGTGCACTGAGATGTCGGAAATTAACATTGATGATACACGATCTTGAAAGCAGAGTGGATATTAATGTTAATGAAATAAACATGTTATTATTTATTAATTACGTGCGTGATATTAAAAACGGGATCATTGTCACTTTTGATAAATCTTTCAGAAGTATAATGTATGATTTTCTGTAGATTTTTATATTTTGGGGAACTTAACCCCTATGCGATTCCACTTGACCCTATCGTTTTTTTACACAGATTGTTCCTTCCTGCACACATATATAATCTGTACATTTTAATGTTGAAATAGAGATGTGTTCGTTACAAAAAAATCTTTTATGGTGGAAAGTATGCTTCTGAATTATGTTGGGCTTCAACTAATGCATTTATTCATCTCATGGAATGTTTTAGTAATAAAACTTTTAATTATTGAATAACACTGTTTTGTCTAATTTATTGTTTTAGGTAATCATTATTACTAATGTTAAAATAGTCTCTGCTGAAATCCGTTTTTACACTATCTTAAAGAAATAGGAATTCTTTTTTTAAATTGCCACGTTGGTTGTGAAAATAAAACATGTCCTATACTTAAGTTTATACGGGTAAACCGAATTCAGTAATTAGTAAAATCTTGCTGTTTGAAGATTACACGAGAAAAGAAAGATTACCTCACTTGAAAAGACTATGATCTTAAAGTGTAAAAAATCCAAAGTTTCTAAGAAAAAAACACAATGAAATAGTGAGAAGGTGTTGACCGTGGAGGACCTAGCACACCTATGATATTTTTAATCCGTTACACTTATATTCAAGCGACAGCTGGGTTTTGGGGAAGTACAATTTAACAATGAAATCAAATCGTCAATTATTTTCGTACTGCTATGTATATATCCTCTCAAAATCAACCATTTATTTTATTGTCCCCATTACATATAACTGATTGCTCTTGAACAATTTCGAAAAAAAGGAATGTCAATATTAGGTTTGATTTCATGTAATTTGTTTTTCAGATTTTACTCTAAACTTTTAGGAGCTTGAATGTATAGACATGAAGTTCGAATACTCATTATTTGATTGATTTCGCTACTGTCTTTAAATTACATCTAAGCTCCTAATTCCAACTCTCAATTTCTTATCTTTAAATATTTACGAAGCAGTTGGAGGTATAAGCATATGGCTTAAGCAAATTCTACTGGAATAAACTATACATGTAGAATCGAATTAAATTTACAACATAATATTTTCTCAACTTCATATATATAGCTTACCATATGTAAGGGCGATGTACATCGACGCGGATCCTTAACTATACAAGTTCTCAGTATAGTACAGTACTTATAAATCATGAAAGCCGGAAATTCGTAGTTTTAGGTTTGGATCTGAATAAGTGCCATGTGGGATACTTAAACTCTCAATTTTTCGTCACGAATTGCTTAATACGTGATAAATTGAACCTATGCTTTATAAAGAAAACTTATTTAAGCATGAGTTTAACATTTGACATAACAGTAAAAGATATAAAAAAAAATACAAATGCTTTTTGTGAATTTGCCTTATTAAATAATAATGAACAAAGCATCCATTCAGAAAAAGAAAAGGAGAGTTCATATCTTCATTTGATGATCTTACTTAACCTGTTGACAAACAAAACACTCATGTTGTGTGCTTGAATCGAAAGTAATATTCTCAGGTGATTAAAGACCCAGTTTGACTTGGATCGGATCGTTTATGGCAAATCAATGACGAAAATATAGAATTTTGTCAATTAGGATTCTCTTAGTATCCTCCAAGTTTACATAGCGAACTTCCATCAATCTTATATAAGCTTATGTCACAAAGCAACTTCAGTCATATCTTAGGATGACAACTCTTAACCTAATCGGAAGTCTCTTAGGTCCACAAAATAATTCTAGCCGCGCTTGTATGAAATAATTTGTCTGACTTCGTGGTTTATGACAGACTAAGACAACCTGGGGGTAACAAAAATTAATTTTCACACCATAAGTATGTCTTTTTTTTTTTGTACAAAGAAGACTGCAGAAAAAGAAAAAAAAATGATTGATTCAGTGATTGTTGGCTGTAAAATTTCATTTTTTAGGGAAAAAAACCTAACCTAGTAGTGTTTTCCAGGTCCAATAAACAATATTTAGGACTAAATTTACAACAATTCTTGTGTTTCACTTTCATGAAAAATGTACACAGATGATGATGGATATGTTGTCGTTACCACAATCCACTTTTCCTCGAATGTGACCTACCAAATTAGACTTATCACCGGTGTTGTACTTAAATGAGCAACATGACGGGTGCCCCATGCGCAGCAGTCTCTGCTTACCCTTTCGGAGGAAATGAGATCACTCCAAGTTTTATGTGGGGTTCATATTGCTCAGTCTTTAATTTTGGTCGTTTTTCTTTTTTTTTTGCCATGGCATTGTCAGTTTGTTTTCTACTTATGAGACTGAATATCCCTTTGGTTTGTTTCGCCTCTTTTTTGTCTCATCTATCTTTTTTAACAGAGAGCATCTACTTAACTTATGTCTGGCTATACCACTGGCCTTATGTATTCTAAATATTTTAAGGTCATAATTGCCGTTCCGACCTAAAGTTTTTAGAAATCAACTCTCTTAACTTCTAAGTTGTTTTACTAAGTTGTAGTATACGCGTATTGAAGCATTTTTTTTTGTTCGGAGATTATGCCAAAGTGTGGATATTTGGCTTATTAATATGAATAAATCCGACGTTATAATAAATAATAATGGTTGTTTTAAATGCATTTTATATATAAGCTTTATAATTATTCTTTTAATCTCCGCTGCCAAAAGGATTCAAACTTCAAAAGTAAAAAATGTATCAATTTATAACGGATTATATAAAAAGATGTTATAATATTTCAAAATTATTTATGGAAACAGACACTGTTTAGTTAATCTTCAATTTCAAATAACAAAATATTTTCTGTTATAGTTCTAAGTTTTCTTTGGCAAACTGTCCTTTATGGGAAAACATATGTACTTTTTTCAATTTCCTGCCTGCCAAAATAGTTTATTCTACTGAGGCTGCATAACCAAACAATTCCTTATCTTTGAACAGGTCCTTCAAACTTTAAAAGCTTTAGCGATAAATTTCCTCATTTGACCAGAACTAATTATTTATCATTTATACGTCTGGTTGATCAGTTTAATCTACTTTTAATATAAAACACTTATTTTAATATGATTTAATTTGCAAATGGCACGTTCTGGTACGACCATAACATGCCCTTGGCGGCTTAAACTACATGTCGTTTTGCTTGACAGAAGGAAGTAATCATCTTTTTTTTCAAGAAAACTTAATGAAATTTAAAATTATTTGAAGAGTTTGAAGATATCGGAAACATCAATGTATCATAAAATATAAATTCTTGACGTTTTCCTCCTAAAAGAAGACATAATATGCAATTTATGTAAGTAAACTGTACCAGCATTGCCTGAGAAGGGTTATCAGTTATTCCCATTTTGTGACACAATATAAAAAGAATACTTGTTGTAAGCATCTAAGCATGCATGTTTTTATTTAGCTTTTTGGTTCTAAATGGAATACTTTTTTTATATAAATTTACTCCATATGTGTAATTCCTGTTACTAAAATCACTAAAATTAATTTGGTTATTAAAATTCTGCTTACCTTACATGTCCGAAATTTAATTTTTGTATTCCAATACACCAATAATATATGTACACTAATTAAATTAAACAATAAAGAAAATGTCAACTTTGAATATGAGCCATCCACTTCAAACGTGAACCGTATATATTATACTTTTGTCAATTTAACTGATGGGTGGGCGCCGTATATAGCCTTCCCTTTTCCTAATTTCTATACAGTATATAATTAACAGTTGCATTTATCACAACGTTTAACATAATGTCGATTTTACGATATTCCTTCCTGTACATTAATCGCTACGGGTTATTACAGACTGGGGTGTCGTGAAATTAGGCGTTAATATGTTAGATTGGTATGGCTAACGGCAAATATAACTGTATCTTGATTTTTTCCTGATTGTAGATATTTTTACTGAAATGAGATCTAACTGGCGAACATTGTCAATATATTTTCAGGTGAAATGTTATAATTTTGATTGTTTCGTTTGATAATAAATAACATATGTGAGGTATGGATTTTATCGTGTTCTGTGTTTTAAAATAGTTTACGTGTAGATATCATACCATATCATTTCAAACAACTTTTGACATTTCTCTGTCGCGGGTTGTAATAACTGTAACTGCTCAAATTGACTTGAGCAGAATAAATTTTGTAAAATGGCAACGAAAACAAATCTTTTCTGACCTATTGACATATCCGGATGCAGATATTTACATATATTTAGATATGATATTTCACTATATAAAACTTTTTTCACTACCATGCAAGCGAAGTGATTACGTTTTCAAAACTGTTTTGCCGAAAACAAGTCTTAACATAAGACTCTTATCCACTACATTGAAATTTGTGCAGTTTCTTTCTAGACATTTCACAAAATCGTGTCTTCCTGCGAAATACTAAGGATTTGCTACCCCAGGAATATATTACCTTGGCTGTATTTTGGCAAAACCTGTCGGAACTTTGGGTCTCAATTATCTTCAACTTCAAACTTTATTTGGCCTTTTTAACTTTTTTGATTCGAGCGTCACTGATTAGTCTTTTGTAGACGAAACGCTCGTCTGGCGTACACAGTTAGAATCCTAGTATCTATGATGAGTTTATTTATTAAGAGTGTATAGGCAGGCATGATTTCATAGCAGCAGGCTAAGTCCTTTGAGCTTGTTTTAACTAACTTATACTGCAAACTTTCTTTGATTATATTGGGGTTTTTTTTTGCACATGTGTTGTTTGCTAGCTATTATATAGTTAAGTGATTTGCCTGTACTGATTTCTATTGTATTTTCTGGTATGTACCTCTTGTTAATTCATTGACCCAGATTAAAAGCAGAGAGGATTGAGATCTAACAATCGATCATTCCCAGTCACGTATTGATGTAATTGGCTCAAGTCAGGAACAACATCAGTGGTTGTCTTTACCATTCAGTCGTTATGTTTTTGATTTTAGTTTTGTTTTTGGTTTTATATTTTTAATTGAAATGCTCGCTGTTGATGGCAATTATTTGGTGGTTTCTGTAAAACTTTTTCATAGTTTCTGGACTCCTGCTTTAGAGCTTGGATATATCGGGAAATAGTGAACTAATTTTACTTCAGTGTCCCAGGTTATATTGTGTTGTCAAAATGCTGTCTTACCGTCGTATAATAAAAAAAGACCTATGATTATAGGGCTCTCCTCCTCATCGGGCTAAATTTTGTAAAGCAGTATTAGGACTGAATAAGACAGCCACTAACATAGGTGCTAGATCAGAATTAGGTAGATTTACTTTGGACTCTTATATAAAAACTCAAACACTCATGTATTTTTATAGAATAAACTCTAATGATATTAATCCTCTGGTGAAAGAATCGCTACAAACAAATATAAATTTACATTCCTCAGGAATTTATTCTTGGTACTCATTTGCAGATAAAAATTTTAAAGATATGAAAATAAACCCAGAAATCACTCTGATATTAATGTACATTTTAAACAATCAAAAAAGTGTTAAAATGTAATATTTAAAAGTGTGTTCAGAGGAATATGAAAAAAACACTTTCAAAATTGGATTCATCATCCAAACTTTGTCTTTATGGGAGATTAAAAACTAATTGTCAGTCTGAGGAATATTTAAATTGCAATATTTTTATTCATAGGCAGTTACTCTCAAAATTTAGACTTAGTGATCATTCCCTAGGCATTGAATTGGGGAGATACAGAAACATTCCAAGAGCACAAAGATTATTTTAAAAAATGTGGAGTCCTAGATGACGAATTTCATTTCTTTTTGTAGTGTGACATTAACATAGCATTGCGTTCAAATGTTTTTGCTTACCTAAAAGACTATGTACATGTACCATTATTTCAACATATTGATGCATTTAATAAATTAAAACACATTCTAAACCCCACACCTGAACTTGTTTGTCATATTGGAGTCTTCATTAAGCAGTCTTTAGAACTGAGGGGGTCAGACCCATGTCAGATAAGCTTATGATTGTGTTTTTTACATAAATTTGTTAATTGAACTCTTTCTTAAAATATGTTCTATTGTATTGTATTGCATTGTGTTGTATTTAATTGTATCATAATTTGTTTGTGTTGCTTGACCCTTATGGTTGTAATTTTGCAATAAAGATTATAGATATAATAAAAAATCAATGAAAGACTTGTCTTTTTTTAAATACTCACAATTTGATAACACCAGGTCACTTAAATTGATAAGCCTCCTTAATATCATGTTTGTATTTTGCAGTCAGTTCTTCAGAACGCTGTCCCGATTCAATTTAAAAATTAAAGCAACCGATGTATATTAAAAGTTATGAATGTTAGATTGACAAAATATTGACAATTTCAGAGGATATCATATTTAGATGAACTTTATTTGCATCAATGTTGCCCCTAACGGATATAATGGTGTACATAAGGAAGAGCGATCGGACTTTCACAATTCACCCGATGAAGAAGAGGAGCCCTTAAATGAAAATAACAAATAAGGAATTATGTGCATTCGTAAGGAAGGCTAAAATAAAAAAAAAATAATACCAGTGATACATAAATACTTGATGAGCTATATGACCTTCAAATAACCCACATAACCATATAAGGTCAAGTTTGCCTGAGAGAGCTGGAACCTTCGTTTCTAATAATTTTATAAAGGCAACTTTTAGAAATGTTTGTAATAAATCATGCCAGTCTCGAACCACTGACTATACTAGGCTGATGAAACACTAATTGTTTACCTTAAAGAAAGTACCCTTTTTTTCTCGCGGTAGGAATACGTTTTTGTTCTGTCTTCCCGTCTGACACTTCAATTGATATATTTCTAAAAAAACAAAATTGAACTTACCATCGGGAACACCGATAAGAACCTTGTTTTCACTTAAAAACCCGTTTCAGGATCTCAACATGGATAATTTTAGTTTGTACCGGTTGAATTACAAAATATCTTACACAATTTTAAAATTTTGTTTATGTATAAACACATTTTATGAATCTACATAATTAAGAAATGAAGTGTTGACAATTCACTTGGTACGTATCATGATTAAACTTAAACGGCACCTACTTAAGATGGAGTTTTGGATAATCATAGGTCAATTTTTATTATCGTTTGAAATTTCAACTCAGTGTAGTGAAGGAAGATTAAGATGTTCTTTTTAGTTGAAATTTCAAACGATAATAAAAATTGCAAAAATCAGCAAACAAAACCAGGGTAAAGAGTAACGGTGATTCGATTCTAAATAAATTTCAAGTTTTCTCCATATGAAATGATATTAACACATTTAACTTCTCCACTCTGTTAATAATTCTAGTCAACTGAAAGACATATTTATAAATGATGTCAAACATTTATATAAAAAAAACTATGGCCTGCACATATACTTATATATCTTGATTTAAGAAGGATGAATTATTCTTTGTCTACTTTGATTCTTATAAAAGTTGCCAGAAAACAATCATCTAAGTCCAATAAAAACAGACAGTACCATGGCCAAAAATCAAAACGACGAAAAGACAAACAACAATAACAAAACATTATACATGCAGAAAACTAAAGATTGAGCAACTCGAAACCCAACAAAACCCGGTGATGAATTCTGGAACTCCGGAAAGTAAGCAGTTCTTGTTTCACATGAGGCACTCATCGTCTTGCTTATGCAAATAAAATTTGATGAAAGATGCATTTGTTAATCTCCCGATAGAGGTAAAGAGGACGGAATTGTAGTTCGAACATATCCGTAGTCTTCTGCGACAAAGATACAATAGCTTCCTTTTAAGCAATAGCCATCTTAAGGAAATCGGGAAAGAAAGCGCACGTCCTAGAATATCGTATCAACTGGGAGATAATACTACATATACAGGCGGTGCTGGAATACTGCTACAAAAAAATGGAAAGTTCACAATGGGAAAATTGATATCATCTCCAAAAGTTTTCTTGAGAAACTTCGTATAGGCTCTGCCTCGTAAAATAAAGAATCAAGTCGGCAAGTAAAGGAACACAGTTGGCTCCCATAGGAAAGCTGATTGTTTGTTGAAAAACACATCCTCAAAACGTAACACATATGTTGTAAATAAAAAGAAATCCAGCATTTTCAATAAATTATGAAACTTCTTTAAAAATGAATTTCTTTTTATGTATACATTGCTGATATACACCTTTGATATAAATAACAATCTAGCAAGAAATGTACACACAAGAGCGCTTACAGTGCGGGAACATTTCCCAGTTATAATTGGGTTTTGAGTAAGGGGGCAGGTATAAAATCATCCAAAATGAGAGAACAACTTTTACCTTGTACAATAGACTGACTTATGATATGCAGGAAATATATTCAATATCTTTTAACGAAGTCAATATCTTATCTTGTTATCTAATCTTACTTTAAGATGAGCAGATTACACACATTTGACAGTTTAAACATATGCAAGGTTATTATCTTAATTTCTAAAAGATTTTGCTTGTCTAGGCTGATCGTATTATTTTAAATGCTAATTAAAACAACAAAGGAGCTTATGCTTTAATTAAATACAATTGATCTAATTAGTGTTTTTTCTGATTTTTATCAGATTTTATCTTATTTGACAGTACATCCCATGCGTAAATAACTATGGTAGATAATCATCATATTTTTAAGAGCTATATTTAATCATAATATTACAAACATGTACATTAGTAGTTGCATATGATCTAAACGTGTTCGATGCATGCACATGAGGGGAACATGAAAATATGAAAACAAAACAATATGCACATTCGTAATTGCATTGCAGAGGCGAATTACGAGGGTCAGGCCCCCTCCTTATGGCCCATAATTTGATTATTTTTGCAGTCTTGGTTTATTTTTACTGC